GGAAGGAAGGGAGGGAGGGAGGGAGGGAGGGAGGGAGGGAGGGAGGGAGGACGGAAGGAAGGAAGAAAATAAATTAGCCAAGTGTGGTGCCACATGCCTGTAGTCCCAGCTGCTTGAGGGGCTGAGGTGGGACAATTACTTAAGCCTGGGAAACTGAAGCTGCAGTGAGCATCACACAACTGCACTCCAGCCTGGATGACAAAGGTGAGATCCCATCTCAAAAACAAAAAAAAGGAAAAAGAAAAGAAAGGGGAACGAAGTCTGCATCTCCTGGTTTCTTGGCCACGGCCTTTCTAGCCAACTGTTTTTAAGATCATCTCCTTCTCAAGATGTTTACAAAGAGATAAATGAAAAAGGGAAGAAAAGGTACTTTAGTGTTCCATCAAGAGCCATGAGCACGTTTTCCAGATTCTTATAAGCAAGATTCTGTCAAAAAAACAGCAAAAAACTACCAAATTTAAAGGAAAATAGTGAGCTTTCTAGCTCATTTCTAATTTTAGACAAACAACTATAAACATATTGACAACAGGGATTTTTGTTGGCATATAGGCCTCAAAGCTTGGATAACAGCAACACTATTTGCTGCAGAGCTTTTAAGTAATTCTAACTGAGTTTCTGAAAGTTTTTGAAGCAACCAAACTTTTCCAAACTGCATGCTAAAACTTGGCATCAATAATTAGTCCTAGCAAATGGATTCAGAATCAATCAAAACATTGAAGTCAGAGTGAAGAAGCACAAGTGTTCTCATGGGGACTTACCATTTAATGGGCAGATCAGGTACTAAGGATGAAAACTGCTATTGTTTTACCAGGAAGTTCCCTATTTGAAGTATACTTGTGAAAATTTTAGGATGATGAATTTATTTTGTAATAAAAAATTCCAATTGAAAGCACATTCAGAATAATCATGGAAAGAGTGATATTTAATCAATTAAAATTCAATTCCAACTTCTTGTATTTCTTCTGGACTACAGAAAACAGGGTCCCGTACAATTATAGTCACACATTTGGCTCATCTTTAAGAAAACTCTGCTACCTCTAAACAAGATCCAGTGGACACCATAACATAAATTACTGGATCTCACAGATAACTCAAAATGCATACCCTGTACAATAACTTACACAACAGCACAACTCAAACCCAGAAATCTGTATAAGCATAGGGATCAGGACTTTAAAACATAGCCAAGCATATCTGCAGGGCTACCTGTATGACTATGCAGTGTTCTGCAAACCATTTCAAAATTGTTCATATTTGGCCATGCTTAATCCAGTATTTACCAAAGAGTAAAATGACTAACTCTACCTTCCCACTTATGTATCCCCCTAACAACAGCTGTACCTCATGAATTGATCCTTACAACCAAAAGAAAACAACAACTACCAAGTTGAACAGCATATTCAGAATAAAAAAATTCAGAGTATTTGGACAGTACATTTTGTTTTGTCCATGGTAAAAATAAACTTCACGTTCACATGGCTTGATTTTTAAAATTTCAGTATAATAAAATAACTCCTATAAAATATGCAAAATAACAAAAGCCTTATTGGGTACAATAGGTAGTTGTTTTTATTCATATTTTATAAGTAAAGAAAGTTAGGTGGAAAGCAGTTAAGTGCTTTGTCCAGAATCACAAAGTGGGTCAATTTGGCCTTAGAACTCAAGGGCTGGACCCTTCTCAAGTTGTCATTTTCTCAATGTGGCTTAGCAAGAAATAAAACTAGCTATTACTAGCTGGGCCTCTCCCAGTTGGCCCAGGATATGAATTCAATTTCCAAGGCACTTAGAAAGAGTCTACCTTTTTCAAAGACAGGATGGCTTTCTAAGGTAGGACAACATATCTCCCTAAAGAAGAAGTCCTTTTTCCCCTCTTGGGAAGATGAAAAGAAACAAACAAACAAACAAAACTCTTTTTTGTTGAGACAGGGTCTTGATCTGTTACTCGGGGTGGGGTGCAGTTGTGTGACCTCAGCTCACCAAACCCTTGACCTACCAGACTCAAGCAATCCTCCCACCTCAGCCTCCCAAGCAGCTGGGATTATAGGCACGTGCTACCATGCCCGGCTAATTTTTCATAGACAAAAGGTCTTAGTATGTTGCCCACGCTGGTCTCAAACTCCTGGGCTCAAGTAATCCTCCCGCTTTGCCCTCCTGAAAGTTCTGGAAGTACAGGCACAAGCCACCATGCCTGGCCCAAAAATTTTTTTAAAGGAGTGCAACTATTCCATCTCATACTCTGCAGAAGATGAATCTCCAGCTCCAAAGTTTGAGTTTTGTGTTCACTTTTTAATTTTGTTTTAAATTTCATGAGGATGGGAGACTATGAGGAAGGCTACCCAACTTTTTAGCCACCTCCAAAACCTGAGACTGACAGGTACGAGTAGCGGGTTGAGTGTGGTTAATTCATACCACTGGTTGACTCAGAGCCCAAATGAGGGAGTAGGGGCAGGGGGTCAAAAAGTGAGAAGTAAATGAAGGAGAGAAGTAAATGAAGAGGTACAAAAAAAAGCAGGCAGAAAGGGAAAGTGACAGCAAACATTGTATTTGGTGTAAACAAAGCTGCAAATCCCTAGCGATGCAATTGAGTACGGCCTTTATCAAAACTGGGCACTTTCTGTGTGTCAATAGGAAGCTTTCCACAAAGGCACACATACCAGTTCTTGTTCCACTTATGTGCAAATTCCACAAGCAGGAGGAGCTGGATGCCGATAAAGAGGAAGCCTCCGATGGCTCCCACGTAGCGCCAGGCTGCAAAAGACCATGAAGAACACAATGAGGCAACATTTCCTTGTATTTCACTAAAAAGAGAATAACCACAGATGATTTGTACTAGATGATAAGTGTACCTAACACACTTAATTCCCACACAACCATATAAGACATGGATTACTATTATAAATGTCACCCACTTTACAGAAGAGAAAAATTGAGAATCAATGTAGGTTGACAACATCTCAGTAAGTAAATGGCATAGTTGGGATCTGAACACAGGCAGTCTGACCCTGAAGTATCCAAGCTTAACCTCCCTGCTACATCTGCCAGGTATCCTAACAGATGCCCTAATTCACAAAATCCACAATGAATCACAACTTAAAATCAAACATATATTGCCAGAAAAATCAAAGGTTCAAATGTTATTGGGTAAAAAGTCAACAACGACCAGTAAGGAAACAAGCTTCAGACAGGGGGACAAGAACTTGGCTCTACTTCTAGCTCTGCCACAAACATGCCGTTACCGTGACTAAACCACATCACGTGGTTTCTAGCTTGTCTGTAAAAATCACTGAGCTAGAATTGGGTGCAGTGGCTCACACCTGAAATCCTAGCACTTTAGGAAGCTAAGGTGAGCGGATCACTTGAGGTCAGGAGTTCAAAACCAGCCTGGCCAACATGGCGAAACCCTGTCTCTACTAAAAATACAAAAATTAGCCAGGCATGGTGGCAGGCACCTGTAATCCCAGCTACTCAGGAGGCTAAGGCAGGATTCAAGAATCGCTTGAACCTGGCTGGTAGAGGTTGCAGTAAGTCGAGATGACACCACTGCACTCCAGCCTGGGCGACAGAGCAAGACTCTGTCTCCAAAAGAAAAAAGACTGAGCTGGACCAGAGGGTTTCTAGGTCTCTTCTCCCTCTAAATATACATTCTAATATATAAAAGGATCTCTGTGGAAAATCTGAAAACTTTTAACATCATTTTAGGTAAAAGCAAGACTTAGGGAGTATATGAAAAACAAGTATGACCCTAAATAACTAGGTAGGCTCTGACACATAGCTATATGAAAGATTATGGCTGTTCCTTATAAACTGATACAATCTAGAGGTTTTGTTTAGTTTTTGAGACAAAGTCCCACTCTGTCGCCCAAGTTGGAGTGCAGTGGTGCAATCTCAGCTCACTGCAACCTCCACCTTCTGGGTTCAGGCAATTCTCGTGTCTCAGCCTCCAGAGTAGCTGAGATTACAGGCACAGACCACCACAACCAGCTAATTTTTATATTTTTAGTAGAAACAAGGTTTCTCCCTGTTGGTCAGGCTGGTCTCAAACTCCCGGCCTCAAGTGATCCATGCGCCTCGGCCTCCAAAATGCTGAGATTACAGGTGTGAGCCACCACTCCTGGCCTAAATGTTTTTAGTACCTTACTTGGGAAAGTGAATCCATTTGGGTTGAACAAAATGCCTGAACCAGTGAAATTCAGGTTTTTCCCTTCACTCATATGAAAAAGGACCCCCTGTTTCAGCTATGATTAAAGGCTTCATATTAATGAATTGTAGCAGGTTCTAGCAATAAAGAATATAATTCAATGTTACAGAGCTTCACATAAGGTAAGTTTAAAACCAGACTGAAGGATGCTTTTCCTGTCCCACTATCGCTGTAGTAGACGCTGCGCTCCCTGTTGCTGGGTTTTCTGTGCAGTGCTTGGAAAGAACAAGGTCTCACCCAGGCTAGCAGAGTACCAAAGTCCTCTTTGGAGAGGGGAGGTAGAGAGGCAATGGCGGAGAAAGTATGGGCAGGTAAGACAGGAATTTCTTCTGAAGCCAAAAGAAAATCAGTAACTCAAACTATCAAAGGTACTTTGGACAGCGCTTCTGAGCAATTTGACAAAATGGATAAAAACAAAATAAACAGGTACCCAAAATACCCCATTAGTACCGTTCAGAAAGGTGTCCTGATCTGGAATGAAGAAAGCTCCTGAGCACATGGCCCCCAGCAGCAGAAGTTTAAAGAACCAAAAGCTAGAAGGGGGGGAAAAAAGAGGAAATGTATTTAAATGACATTCAACAAGGACAAAGGACTTCTTAGAAAGTAAGCATGTGAGTCCATGATTCTGTCATTGGCCAATGTTCTCTCCTAATCGAGGGGAAGTAATTGAGTGACTTGAAGAATGCCTTTTCCCATAATTACACAGACTCAGTGCAGCCTCCAATTGTGCAAAACACCATTTCATTGCAGGGGTGGAAATGACCTGGGAAAAGGTCTTGGAACAAGAAATAAACTCTTTGTCTTGACTAAATTTCACATCATGGTGCCAGGTGTTAAAATAAGATTCTAGCTTTTAGGCAACCATGTGGATAACAAGCATCAGTTCCATCTTCCCCTAAATCAACTATTTCAACTAGAAGAAGAGTAGTCACAGTGTCCGGTGGATATAAGGGATCCTGGAATACTGTCTGGAACACAAGAAAGGAGAAAGCAATTCCCAAGAAGACTAAAATACTTACCCATTGTGAATACGAGCTCTACAACTTTTGCTATTGTCGATTTTCAAGGTCAGTAGACAGAAGATAAAGAAGAAACAAGCCATTCCAAAACAGACTCTATATACAGCAGAATATCCCACCAGCTTCTCACAGGTGTCACCAGCTTTAATGCCTTTACACATTTCTTCAAAAAAAGGGATCTGAGGAGAAAGTTTAGAAAAGTCGTCTGTTAGAACTGACTGAGAGGGGACTGTCATGGAGTGTTCATTCAGGTGACCACTCAGCATCCACTTGGAAATGGATTGTGTGCATAAAGAAACACATAGAGGAAGGGAATCTATCTTCTAAAGAGATATTTTTCTAATTTTCTCTGAATCTTTTTTTAAAAGATACAGTGATCATAAAGTAACAGTCAGCCTTTACTTGCCCCAAATGACTTCTGAAATCCAACAACAGATTTTATGAAAATTACCTGCCCCACCCCGCCTTCCCAAAATGAGACAAGGTCTCACTCTGTTGCCCGGGCTGGAGTGTAGTGGCATAATCACGACTCACTGCAGCCTTGATCTTCCAGGCTCAGGCAATCCTCTTGCCTCAGCCTTCCAAGCAGCTAGAACTATAGGCACGCACAACCATGCCCAGCTAATTTTTATATTTTTTTGTAGAGTGGGGTTTCATCATGTTGCCCAGACTGGTCTTGAATTCCTGAGCTCAAGCAATCCACCAGCCTTAACATCCCAAAGTGCTGGGATTATAGGCATGAACCACTGCACCCAGCCAAAAATCCCATTTCAATACATGGATATATTTTTGTTGATGTGTATACATATATAGAAATAAAAAATCAGAGACTTCTTTTACTATCTCCCCCAAATGTCACTCCCCTCCCTCAAAAGAGTAAACAATTTGGTGGCTACAGTATTTATATTAATTCCCATAAATGTGCGTGTATACATACATACAACATATCCACGTATACATACACAACACACATACATACAGTCATATCGTACTATACATATAATACATATATTAAAACAGCTCCTTAAAATAAAACATTGTATGTAATGTTCTACAATATTTTTTCCCAATTAACAATAAGCCAGCCCAAGCACAGTAACTCATCCCTGTAATCCCAGCACTTTGGGAGGACTAGGTGGATGGATCACCTGAGATCAGGAGTTTGAGACCAGCCTGGCCAACATGGTAAAACCCCATTTCTAATAAAAAATACAGCCCTTAGCTGGGTGTAGTGGCACATGCCTGTAATCCCAGTTACTAGGGAGGCGGAACTGCTTGAACCTGGGAGGCGGAGGTTGCAGTGAGCCAAGATCACGCCAAGATACTCTGGGCAACAGGGTGAGACTCTGCCTCAAAAAAAAAATAAATAAATAAAAATAAGATCACTTGGAAAGATGGCCGACTAGGAACAGCTCAGGATTGCCGCTCCCAGTGGAAGTGCAGAGAGTGAGTGGATGCCGTATTTCCAGACGGATTTTTATCGCCCAGAGACCAGGAGATTCCCAGGCAGAGGAGCCCCACGGGTCGCCAGCACAGCTGTTTCAGCCCCCACAGCTGCTTTGCCCGAGCCCTGGCACGGTGGTTCTCCGTACAAAAGACACTGGTCCGGGTGCCCTCTTAGCTGGCGACTGGAGCCCTGAGATGGCAGAGTCACCCATTCATCTGAAATAGCGAGCCAGGCCAGGAGATTCCTAGGCAAAACACCGCCAGGAATCTCAGCGCCGCTGTTTCAGCCGGCTCAGTGAGTCGCAGCACGGGAGATCCTGGCGCCTTTTCAACAGGCGACAGGAACACTGGGAGAGTCGACCGTTCAACAACAACAACAAAAAAAGACTCTGAGTCAGGGAGCC